TGTGGCAAGTAAGAAGCAGACTCTCTATTTGTATCTGCCAGTTCATTTGGATTCCACTCCCCTGCCAGCTCCCTTCTTGAAAAGCTGGCTGGGGACAGGATTCGACGAGAATGCCACATTGGAAGAGCTGGAGTGCAGGGCCCTTCTCAACTGCAGCCCTTGCTGGCTCTCAGGGACGGAGCTGGCACAGGAGCAAGAGAGACTGGCACAGCCCACAGACACGAAACGTGCGTTCACTGAAAAGCAACATCCACAAGTGAGGTTCTCTTTGGCTTCCCATTCATCACATTTATGCAGCGCTGGAAGGTCTGCTGTATCAGAAAGATAAAATCACCTGCTGCTTTCTTGGTGAGTGGCGTTGATTTAGTGTCTTCAATGTGAGTAAGTACAGCTCAGGCTATTCTCTTGGATCATCTTGTGCAAAACAGGATCTTCGTGGAGTCTGCTGCCATCTTGTGGCCTTAGGTCAGAACCCTGTGCCTCTTTTCTTCCCACTTGTTCTGATACTGTCCCCTGGATGTAAAAACCACTACTCTCAAGGAATCTTCCTTCCTTCCACCTGACACCATCCCTCTTTCCACCACAATAGCAGGACACACCTTCCCGCATCTCCATCTATCCTAGTTTAGCTCATCAGCTTTGAATGCTGTCTCTGCTCTATCCTGACTGAAATGGAGCTCCTTATAATAAAGATTTACTAAGATAAAGATGGCTCCGTGTGAACTTTTTGTTTCCCCAGCAGCAATGCAAACTCTGCTGTGCCATCTGCACTCTGCATTCTCCCATTAAAGGGAAGAGCTGGCGCTTTGAGCTGAACCCAGAAATATCTATACATAACCAGTGAAGCAGTTTTAAAGTAGTTGTGACACAACCACAGTTATGTGCTCTTCTCTAACTTAGTTTTGTGGAAATGTAGCAATTTCATGTTTCTGCTGACATTTACGCCTTCTATCTTGATTTCTTCCGTTTCTCCACTTTTTAAAAAACTCACCTCTCTCCTCTTTTGTCTTCCTGCACTGGCATAATTCAGTGACACATGGCTTATTTCACTTTGTAAAGTGCCACATACACTGTATATTATACTATATAGTATAGTAATTGTAAGCACACGTTTAACAGGAACAAGAGAGCTGATCTGACCAGCCTTTCAAAGCCCAAGCAAGGCCAAGTCACCTGTTTACAGGTGGGTATCCTAGCACTTGAATGTCAACAAGGCCATGTCTCTTCTGAGCCACTGAAAGTGCCACATCCCAGCAATGGCAATATATATATATATATATATATAAAGAGAACAAACCACAAGCGCGCGTCCGCACATCCCCCCCCCCGCCGGTACGTTTTTCAAATTTGGCAACCCTACTTTGTAAAGTGCCACATACACTGTATATTATACTATATAGTATAGTAATTGTAAGCACACGTTTAACAGGAACAAGAGAGCTGATCTGACCAGCCTTTCAAAGCCCAAGCAAGGCCAAGTCACCTGTTTACAGGTGGGTATCCTAGCACTTGAATGTCAACAAGGCCATGTCTCTTCTGAGCCACTGAAAGTGCCACATCCCAGCAATGGCAATATATATATATATATATATATAAAGAGAACAAACCACAACCATGTGTACCAGAGGCAAGTCGAGGAAGAGAAAGAACAGATTTTCTCTCAAAGCAAATAGTTGTTGAAAAGGGAAACGGAGGCGCTGGCAACAGAAAACAGAGAACAACACAAGAAGGCCTCAGCATAGCACTGAAAAACTGTTCGTTGCCGGCAGTCTGGCCTAGAGATCCACTGAAGGTAACTATAATTCAGGAATCTAACGGTATACTCCATTTCTGCACATATGATTTCTGGTAGAAAGCCACTTCTGTGTAACTTAGAACAGGACCAAAGTTTTTGTGGGTTTTTTTTGAGGCTGAGAAAAGGACAGGGGTGTGGGTGTGTTGGAGGTAGGAATGCCAGCCTCCAGGCGGGACCTGGGGTCCCCCTGGAATTACAGCTCATCTCCAGACTGCAGAGACTGGACTTTTTCTGTTCAGCAATTTGTCTGTTTGAAACCACAAACTCTGAGAGAGGAAAAGATACAGGGCCCCAAATCTCTTCCCCCCAGTGGGCCACGTTTAAATAGTTCGATCACAGGCCACCTATCTGGTACGCTAAAAAACTGTGAGCTAGCTCACACTAACTCAGCTTAGAGGGAACACTGCCCCCCGGAATTACAGCTCATCTCCAGATTGCAGAGACTGGACTTTTTCTGATCAGCAATTTGTCTGTTTGAAACCACAAAGTCTGAGAGAGGAAAAGATACAGGATCCCAGTCTCTTCCCCCCAGTGGACCACTTTTAAATAGTTCGATCACAGGCCACCTATCTGGTACCATGATTGGGGGGCCTCCAAAGCGGGGGGAAATCCGCCCCCCGGTGGGATTTGGCAGCCCTACTGCCAACTGCTTTTGGCAATTATTGCTTGTTATTCCTAAACCATATGCCAGGGCAAATACATATCCCACCAAATAGGTGGGATTTATTTGATTTGATTTATTGAATTTATATCCCTTTCTCTCCTGAGTCCAGGCTTTGAGTGGGTAACATCATTATTTAAAACATTTAAACAATTCAAGGATCAGCATTCTTAGTATGTAAATTAAAAAATTCAATAAAATGCCTGATAACAGATAATAGAAATAAATACATAATAGTTACATACCAGCAACATGGTTAAAAGATGGTGCAAATTCTCAGAAGGGAGTAGTGTATAATCTGTTTGTTTTGAGGGAGAGGGGGAAGAAGGGGAGCAAGGAGAAAGGTGGAACCCATCACTGTCCTCAACCATAGGCCTAGCAGAACAACTCTGTTTTATAGGGCCTGCAGAACTGCATCAGATCTCGCAGGGCCTGGATCTCACCCTGTTTATAAGTGGGTATAAGATCTCATGGATGCATCAAGAGCCTCAATGCAACTTGCATTATAGCAGAGAGGGCAGATCTGAGGAATTCCTAAAGCCCCAAGCATTGCCCTCACTTGGCCCTCACTGGCTAGAAAAGGAGAAGCCAGTACAGTGGGAGGCCAAATCATTGGTGCTATCTCACAGATGCAAGGAGGGTGCCTTGCTCATTGCTCCGGAAGTCAATGACGTCGATACATTTATTTTTGAATGCAGAATGAAATTTGTCTCTGGCTCTAAACCCGGGGGGGGGGGGCCACAGCTATCAAATGTTCAGAAAACCCCTACTGATCCATGAAGATGTTCTGTGGGTTTGGGGGTTGCCACATGGTTATTTCCAAGAACTATGGCCCTTGGCCTGAATGTCTCTGGGAACAGACAGAGTTCGCTGCCCCCAGATATGATTTTCATTGAAGGACTTAATGGCAAATTGTACACACACAGAGAGACAGAATGTTCTTGTGAAAGATGGAAGCATTTCTAAGTATTAATTTTCTATTTATTTATTTTCAATTATTTGTTTTATCATTTAATATAAATAATATTTTAATATGAAATCTCATGGATTTGTATTCATGCCAGTTTGAACATTTTTTGGTCTGGCTACTAGTCCTAAAATTAGGGTGATTTATAAAGGGGGAAGCTAGCAATGTATATGGCAACAGGTGTTTTCTCCAACTGCAGTTTGGCTAAAGTTATATGCTTTTTAATTGGAAGTCTACTATGTTTTGATTGTTAAAGCTATATAGTCTCCTAGAAAAAGAAAGTGGGTTGGGGTACAAAAATAACAGAAAAATAATAAAGAGAGCCATAAAATACAGGACACCCAAATTGCAAAATTATTTCAAAACATCTTATGGTAATAGCCTATACACCAGTAAAATACTCAGAAGCAGTATGATTTTTAAGATATATTTAAGAAAAGAAGAGAGAGAGAGAAAGCTGTCTTCTAATGACCCTCTAGGTATCCAGTGCCTTATTCTCAGTTTGCCTCAGGGAGGCAGTAGCTCCATAGCCACTGCACTTGAGAGCAGGTGATCACTCTCCCGAAAAAGAGATTCTTGGCTTTGATTTTGGGCCAGGTGGGTTGTATGGAAGCCAGCTGAGACACGCGCGCACACACACACACAAAAAGTCTCACTGATGCAACATGATGCCAATTGTCTTAGTCATCCTGTGTAGTCTGTTACAGGAAAATAAAATAGAAGTCTGGTGGTACCTTAAATACTAACAATTATTTCAAGTACGCTTCTCAGATAGGGGGAGGGAAATCAAAACAGAGACCATTCAGCGGTCAAGGTCAGCATTTTGTGTTATGCATGCGCTTGCATTCAGAAAAACCAACAGCACAGGTATTCAATGCCGTACAAATGTGGGCACCACTCTCCATATCATGCCTTAGTGCACATGTGTACACGCCGCCGCCTCACAGTATGCTATAGCAACAAAAATACCTTGAAATAAAAAATTACCATAATTTATCTGCTGAGTAGGTACCCTAATAAATTTCTTAGGGCATGCTTGTATTATAGATTTAATTCTTTTTATGGCTTCCGCCTAAGGAAACCTGGAATTATAGTTCTACAAGATACATTCCAAGGGGGACATGAAGCCCCTAGAAATACAAGGGATATATTTCTATACAATAGTTCTATGAAAAAGGCTAGAATTCTCCAACAAAAATCCCCATTATAGACTGCAGAGTACTTGAGTAGACACCATACCTCAGGGGTGGCCAAACTTGCTTAATGTAACAGCCACACAGAATAAACGTCAGATGTTTAAGAGCCGCAAGACACGAACACACATGTTTTTATTGGAATATATGCAAATTTCCTTTTAATAACATTACATTAGACTGTGTGAAAGAGCCACATGAGGCTGCCGAGCTGCAGTTGGGCCACCCCTGCATACCTACTCATCTGGTTTCGAACTGGTTTAAACATGCAATGTAGATGCATCCTGAACTTCAGAGCTTCCAAGTCATGACGAGAGAACTGACCAGGACTATGTTCTTGCGTTTCAGGATCACTGAAGTAAGTGGCTTGGGATTCTTGACAGTATGGATCTAGGAAGGATAACATTCTACCAGGAATACCTCGCGCCTAAAGGTACAATAGTGAAGCCCTATTACTGGCTCACAATGGGCCACAGCTGTACCAAGTGCCCCTATCACATACGAACAAGTGAAGAAGCAAGAGTCTCTTACAAAGAATTTCAATATGCCTTTGGAGTCCCAATGCGTGATCCAAATAACCACCTCATCTTTTACGAACTGAGGCACTGCTCAGGCAAATTAATTCAAAAGGGCCGTGCTACAAACTGCACAGAGTACAACATTCATCCAGAATCAATGTTATTTGAGATGGGCAGTTACCTCGACTCCATGGTATACCACTACAAGGACATCATGTATGTTATCCTTTATTCAAACTACTCCCCTTGTAATGAGGCCAAGCACGGCTGCATAAGCAAAATTTACAATTTCTTGACCAACTATCCAGATGTCACACTCTGTATTTACTTCTCACAGTTGTATCACACAGAAGAGGATTGCCCAGTGTCCCCGTGGAACTGTGAAGCTCTACAGAGCCTGGCCAGTATGTGGCCTCAGGTGAGCCTCGGCCCGTTGTGCGGCAGCCTTTGGCACACCCTGCTCCGCAATTTTGTGGCAGTTATGCCTTGGGGGCCATTTTACCATCCGATTTTGCCAGCAAGAGCATTGGCTGATAGACAAAGCACACGCCCACTTAACAGCATCACTGGGATGATATTTCCTTTTATGACTACCTTGCCTCAGCTGTTCCCTGGGAACTCAACAGCTGGGCCTCAACTGCAACAGTACCATTTCCCCGGTTCACACTCCCAGCTTCCACCACACCAGCCCGATGGCAGACTGCCTCCGCTATTGATGCCACCACCCCATTCAACCCCTCCCGTTAACATTTCTCGTCCTTTCTTAAAACAACCATTCTACCCCAAATTGACCGTAAGGCACGTAAAAAGGCCAGATGAGATATTAAAAGAAGCCAAAGATTCTTAAGTCATCCCAAACAGGAAATCTGTTTGCACGGAAAGCGTTTCTGAACAACTTCCAGCTACTAGGTCTGCAGAATATGAAGACCACAGGAAGAAGAAGAATTAAATCCACCTCACCTAAAAAGTCTAACACAGACATAACCAATTCAGTCAGCACTAACGGGCCGCACAGGAAATATACCATGAGCAGGAGGCCTGGTGCTAATTTGTGTGTGATAAACACATGTTATTTTCATATATAATGCAGATGTCATGCGAACAGCAGCCAGAAGAACCACGGCCAGGCATCCATTTGTCATCCCTGCTGCTGGCATAAGGGCATCAGCTGCCAGCAACATGTTGGAAAGCCGATGATAACTCTTCTTTTGTTAGCTCACAGGCTCCACTGAATAGCATTAACTGCCAGCCAGAGAGAGAGAGACAGAGAGAGACAGAGATTGGATTTATACCCCACCCTTCACTACCCAAAGTAGTCTCAGAGCTGCTTACAATCTCCTTTCCCATCCCCTCCCCACAACAGACGCCCTCTGAGGTAGGTGGGGCTGAGAGAGCTCTGAGAGAACTGCCCTTGAGAGAACACCAAACTGGCCAACTGGCCATTTTCCGATCTGTTTATGACTATTGTCACCACAAGACTGGTTTTGTGCCCCTCCTTTGCATAGTTGTGATGCTTGAGCCTGCCCACGGGAAGTTGAGGTAGTCATTTGATAAATAAAGGCAGTATAAAGAGACATGATGCTCAGTGGTAGATCATCTGGTTTTGATGCAGAAGGTCCCAGGCTCAATCCCACATATTGCTAATTAAAAGGATCAGGAAGTACATGATGTGAAAGACTTCCTCCGGAGACCCCAGAGAACCACTAGCAGTCATAGGAGACAATATACTAACCTTAATAGACCAGTGGTCTGACTCTGTTATGAGGCAGCTTCATTTATATATTTCTTGTCACCTGAAAAAGAATCAAGAAGAGTTTAGAAACTTGTGAGATTTAATAAACCGTTAATTTCCTTTTGTGTTTTTTTCAGCTTTTGGCAGATACTGCTTATTGGTTTTCAAACTGAAATTGTGGAACAGACTGTCAAATGTCATCTGTATGCAGCACGTCAGAGGCTATAGACTGCCAAGGAGAAAGGGAAGTGAGCTTAGCTCATATATAAACAGACTGGGGTTGCAAGCTCCATGTTAAGAAACTCCTGGAGGTTTGGGAAGGGGATCCTGGAGAGGGTGGAGTTTGAGGAGGGGAGTAACCTCAGCAGAGTAGAAGGCCACAGAACCCACCCTCTAAAGCTGCCATTTTATCCAGGGGGAACTGATGTTTAGATTTTTCTGCAAACCTATGGAGTGGGTCTCTTGGGTTTATAGATAGTATCTCCCCTCCGAACCTGGCACCATTTGCTGGCTCTATCAATTTGCATGGAGGCCAGGTTCAGAATTAGATATATTGACAGTTATTTTGTATTGTTATTTTTGAACAAAGATATGTCCATTATTTCTTGTGGGACAAAACAATTTCTTAGACAGCAGGACAAATTTCTTTTAAGACACACCTGGCTAAAATATTATTTTCTTGTGCCATGTGTTAACACAAAGTTTGAAAAGGGGAAATTCAAAGCTGTTTCTCCAAGCGACGAAAACGCTTAACTGAAAAACTGCTCGAATATCCTCTTTGTTCTCAAAGCAGGAAGATGGTTATCCTGACCCGTAAACATTTACTCCACCTTCGTTTTCATTTGGACTCTGAACATTTTTCTGGGCTGCGTTTCCTCACCCAGTGCCTTATCTGATTCCTTGGAGGCCAGTCAGCAAATTATTTTTTCCTGAGAAACTACTTTTTAATCGAGTTGTCACTGCTGGTGCTTAACGGCACCTTAGGAGGCCAGGGCAACTGTTCACACCATGTTCCCCGTTTTGCCCACCCTCATCACCAGCTGTTGTGAGCTCTTTATTTACTCTTTAGACAAACAGTTAAAGGGTGCTTTCCCTTTAATTTCAGTCTGCAGTCCTTTCCATAGGTTTGGAGCCTCCCTGCTGGCCCTGCCTTACTTGTTAGCCTCCTTTCCTTACAGTCCTTCTTTCCCTCTCTCTCAGCTAGGCCTGGCTTTTTATCAGGTTCCAGCCTGGGGAAGAGGAAGCAGCCCTGCCCACACAGCTCCCCTCCCAATCGCAGCTGTTTTAACACTCAGCTGAGCCAGTAGCAGCACAGGGCCCATGTGTAGTTCTTGTGGCCCTCCTTCTTCACACAAGTCTTCTTCTTCCCGCAACTATTTTTTCCCCTCAGACTAATCAAGAACGAACACGCCATTCTGCTTCTTATTGCTGAGTCGGATCTGGAGCTAGGAAGCCACAAGGACTGTGGACTTTCCTCCTCCCCCCCTCCGCCGCTTTCCTTTCTGACTACAGAAAAATTTATTCCAGGGGTCACAAGACCCATACAGAGTAATAGCCACACAGGCCAGGAGATGAGGCAAAATCATGTCTGTAGAGACAGCATGACTTTAAACATTACGGCACATTAAATGGAGAGCTGACATTTGTCAGTTGGACTTTTTTTGTGGTTCATGATCTTGCTGCCCATTTGTATCCTGTTGTCCTGACTTCTTACATAATCCACACTGACCCAGTCTTGCATGTGGTCTGTTATATTTTCATGGTTCCTGTCATCTACAAAAAATGGTACTAGTGACACCCAGCTGTATCTGTTACTGGACGGCCACCCGGATACCACCCTGCAAAATCTGCCTGTGGGTTTGGAGACCATGGTAGGGTGGTTAAAAAAGAGCAGGTTGAGACTGAATCCAACGAAGACAGAGGTTCTGTGGTGGTGGTGGTGGGCTTCAAGGCTTGGGCATTGACTTCCTGCAGTCCATCAGGAGTTTGGGCGTGATTTTGGATGCCTCCTTGACTATGGAGGCCCAAGGCACACACATTGCCAAGCTGGCATTCTTCCATCTGTGTCAGGCTCAGCATTTGGCCCCTTTCCTGTTGTTCCCCAACCTAGCCACAGTAATCCATGCAACAGTCACCTCCAGGCTAGACTACTGTAACTCGCTCTTCGCTGGCCTGCCTTTGAGACTGACCCAGAAGCTCCAGCTGATCCAGAATGCAGCAGCGCGAGTCCTGACGGGAACGTCACGGATGGCACATATACAACTTGTGCTGTGCCAGCTGCACTGGCTTCCAGTGGAGTACTGAAAGCCAGTTGAAGGTTTTGGTGTTGACCTTTAAGGCCTTGAACAGTCAGGGACTGACATATCTGCAAGACCATCTCCTCCAGTATGTTGCTGGGAGAGCGTTGCGCTCCTTACACAGCAATCTGCTGGTGATCCTTGGCCCCAAAGGTATCTTGCTGTCCCCAACCAGGGGCAGGACCTTTTCAGTCCTGGCCCCAACCTGGTGGAACTCTCTGCCAAATACCATCAGGGTCCTGCGGGACCTTATGCAAATCCTCAGGGCCTGTAAGGCAGAGATGTTCCACCAGGCTTTTGGTTGAGGACAGCGATGGCTTCCATCCATAGTTAAGTTTAGAAGAAACTTGTGCCTTACACCTAATCTGTGCCTATGCGGCTTATGAAATGCTGGTTTACTTAGTCTGTTATTATATTCTAATGTAATGCATTGTTAAAATCCCAATAAAAAAATATATTGGGGAAAAAAATAAAAATAAAAATTTGTGTATCTATTGTATGGTTTTTACTGTTTTTATTATATGTTGTATATCACCCAGAGCCCTGCAGGGATTGGCCAATCCATTAGTGTAATAATAAATAAATAAGGAAATCTTCTCAACTGCTTCAGCTATTTTTATTCAAGTCCAGCTCCTCTACTTCCAGCAGTCTTTTCCTTGTTTCTTTATTTCTTGTCCCAATTACAGTTTGTTCTCTATAAAAAAAAAATCTACCAGATCCTCAAAATCACAAGTCTGTCTGAGGTCTTTTAATGTTATGATAAAGTTGGGAAAAGTTTCGCTATCTTTCTGTTAACCAGCGTGAAACTTATCTTTCAGAAGTCTTATTTTCCTTTAGTAGACAGTAACCTTGACATTTCTGTTTTACAAGACTGTAATTATTCTGTTCAGAAAATGAGAGGCTGAAGCCACGAAAGAAGACTTTCATTGCCCGCAATAACACTGTCACCTTTTGGGCATCTTCCTTGGTACGTGATGTGCTTGTCCTCAAATTCCTGTCTAAAATATTTCCAGTCATTTGCAGCATTCAAAATCTAAGTTCTTTTACTGTTCCATCTTTCAGTGATTTTCACTGTTGCACTCACCAGAAGAAGACAAGAATTCCTCAGCAGGAGAATAAAAGGCCAATTCTGTATTTTCCTCGGAGAAGGAGCTTTGTTGAAACATGACCTCTCAATAATGGCAGAGGGAGAACTAAGGGAGGGACATCCCTTCCTCTTTCTGGGAATTCAGCATGGAAGGAAGGGACTGCTGTCTGCTTCCCTGGGGCATCAGGAAATCTCTCTGTGGTTGGGCTGCAGACAGACAGAATCCATGTGAGACGGCACAGGTACCACAATGATGATGTCCCAGCTATGACATTTCCCCACTAGAATACTGGAAGAGATGGTCTCGCCCATCTCAGCTGACTGTAAGCATGTGAGAGTGAAGCTGTTAAGCTCAGCTCACCTTTCCCAGTCCCTCTTTTTGGGTTCTCCTTCAACCAGAGACAGAACGGTCTGTCAGGACTTAATGGCCTTGCATATTCTTAGTTGTCTATGGGCACAAGTGGACCGGAGTCATTTATCTATTAAAAACCCTCTCTCCCCATCAGGCTCTTTAGTTTATTCCATTATTCAACTAATTAATCAAGAAGCACAGATAGTTAGGAAGTAACTTACAGAAAAAGAAAAATATAGGAGTGCTGGCTAGGGAAAACAAACATAGGTTTCACACGGGCTGGAAAATGTGGGGGGGGGGAGCGTGGCTGTTTGCCCTGGAGCAAACTAACACGCGGCTGCCGGATCACACGTCCCGCTGACGTCCCGTGGTTCGGGGGGAGGTGCCGATCACACGACAATCCTGCGGCGCGGCAAAGAAGCGGCATGGCGCGATCACAGCAGCAATGGCTAGGCACCGCTGCCGTGGCAAACGGGGTTGT